GGATGAATACGTCATCGAAATAACTCGGCGCGAATTCTCGTACTGGTCTCAACAGATGTGATACACATCTGTTGAACGTGGCAGGGGCATTACTGAGCCCTTGTGGCATTACTAGCCATTCCCAGAGCATGCCGCTAGGCGTGCTAACTGCGGTATAGGGTATATCCCGTTTCCGCATAAGGATTTGATAGAAGCCATCCATCAAATCCATGGACGAAAAGATGGTACTCTTTGACATACCATCAATGATTACGTCCTTCCTCGGTATCGGCGTCTGAGCCGGTACCGTTGCAGCGTTCAATTTGTTGAACGCGTGCACTATCCGCCACCCTCCTGTTGCTTTTCGCACACAGAAGGTCGGAGAGCTATGTGGGGAAGTTGATTCCCTCACATGGCCCGCAGCTAAGCGATCGGCAAAGAACTTGTCGATCGCAAGTACTTGTTCACGAGGCAGTGGCCACTGCTTCATGACACAGTACTTCGAGCCTGGTTTAAGCTCGACCTCGTGTCGAATACCTTTATCCTTCGGTAATTCGCACGGAACAGTTTCAGGGAATACATCCTTGAATTCAACCAAATCTTCATAGAGAGGATTTTTCTTGAGCGATTCCCACGATTGGGAGTCATATCGCTCAATTCGTGTCTTTTCATCTAGGACACTTTCGTCCATAGATGAACTACTGAGAACTCTCTCGTTCTCAGTGAACACTGTTGCTGACCTTATGTCGGTTACACACTCTTCGTCAGCGACGAGTACGCAGATCTGCTTGACTTTGCCACTACGCAGATCACGCAAGAACCTTTTTATGTTCGAGCGTTGGCAACTGAGTGATCTCCGAAGTTAACTTCGGAGGCGCAATCAGATCAAGTGTATAAGCGCCTACACTTGATCCGTTATTGACTATGACATTCAATGTCTCTGTCATTTCCTGGGGACTTATTCCCTCAGGCTTCGAAGGACTTATTCCTTCGGCTTCCCGGGGACTTATTCCCGCGGGTTTCGGGGAACTTATTTCCGCCGTATTTGTAATCTTGGGACTTATTCCCTTTACTTCCTCTAGCTGGGGTTGCGCAACCACAGCGAGATCATCTACGAAAGACTCTCCAGTCGATCTAGGATTATCGTTTCGCTTAACCTGAGCGATCGATTGTTTCTCTTCTAGATGTTCCCCGCTAGGGATGCATCTTTGTCCCAGTCCACCCGACTTATTCGAGTGGTGGACCTTCGGCGCAGCCTGTGTTTCCTCACAGCCGCCGGAACTTTGCTCCGAAGTGTAACCGTTTGTTACACTAAGGTTTTGTGCAGTCGTACTAACGACCGTACCACAAGTGAGGCCATCGCACTCACTCGTAGTACATCCACACGCTTGTGGACGCTCCAAAACGTTCATCAGATGGCCATCTGATGAACAAGCGGCAGGCATCGTTACTGTCCGATGTTGCCAGTTTACCCGTGGTTCGTACCTTCTGAGCCACGGTATTCCAAGGATGACATCAAATTTGTCATCCAATTCCAATACGATAAAGTCATCGTCATATTGGGTATCTTCTAGCGTATAGTGGATCTTCACTATACGCTTCATGACTGATTACGGATGCGCCTGTCGCAAGACGTACCGTCATCCTCGTAGGAGGTGTGTCACATTCACTGAATTTAAAGTGACCATCTTCTAGCGATTGGCGTCGCACAAAATTGTTGGACGCCCCACAATCGACTTAGAGCTCGAAGGGACAACTTATTCGTCACTTCGAGTTTCAAGGTAATGAGTGAGACCTCATTACCTAGAGCAGCAACGCACAACGTTTGTGTGTTGGGAGCAACCTTCATCAAGAGGCCTACAAATTCTCTTGACGTTGCTGGATCAGTAGGGTGCTCCGCACCTACTGATCCTGTCCGTTTTTTGACGGTCCATCTCGTTGTTGCGTCTTTGCACCATCAGCGGACCCGCGTCCCTTCCCCTTTCTCATGGGTGGACGGTCACTACGCCCAGTGTCGCGAGACATTGGACGAGGGGCACTACACTCGTAAGCGTAGTGTCCTGTCTTTTGACATCTGTTGCATCTCTGCAACCTCTTGTAGCCTGTAGAGCGAGCCTTCTCGCTCTCTACGTAACATAGTTCCATCGGCTCTGGACCTCCGTTGTCATATCGTCTCGGTTGACGATATGATGTCGAGCTGGCGCGAGCCTGTCTCAGACTGAAGTCTTCCTGCTCCGCAATGGAAATGGCTTGTTCTAGTGAATCTAGTTCAAGCCGGAACAGGTGAGTCTTGACGGGACCATCCGCAAGACCCTGCATGAACACCGAAACCAACGTGTGTTCATCCACCGGATTGGAACTTATACAACTCGTGAGATGTCGTATATGTTGAGCGTAAGCGTGTACATCACGCTTACCCTGCTTGAGCTTCAAGAGTTCGGTTCGAGCTCTGAACTCAGCTCTAGGCGGTTCAAACGTTTGTCTGAGCCGCGACTTGAAGACTTCCAACGACCCAAACGCATATGGGTCGTGCAACTTGAGCCCCAGTGCCCAAGTCTTGGCACGTCCTGCCAGATTTGACTGGGCAAATGCAACTTGCATATCCCCGTCGTCGATGCGACGCGCCCTTATGGCGTCATCCAATTCGACGAACCATCTCAAGAGGGAGTCTTCTTCGACCCCCCTATACTTGGAGATGTCAATCTTCAAGGTTTCGGGTCTACGCGAGTGCATCGACCCACCAGCAGCAGCCTGCTGCTGTCTCAACAGTTCAACTGTTGAGCACCCTGTTCTCTCAACAACTCTGCTTGTTGAGAACCTTGTTGGTGAAGCAAGGCTACTTTCTCGCGTTCTGCGTCAAGTTCGTTTTGAATGAACTTGGCGATAGTAGCATGTTGGGCATCTCTATTGAGAGCCTCTAGCATGACGCTAACAGCATGGATGCCCATGGTCGAACCCATTCTTTCAACCGCATCCCATTCGACATCGCTCAAATGGGAGTAGCCGTCATGCGTAGCGTGAAAGCTTTGGTCATCTTCATCATCCAACATATTCATGTTAGATGTGAACGTGGTCCTTGGGAGGACTACGAAGTGCTACCAGGTGTAACGGGGCACCCTGAAGCTTGTACTGGTGACAGTACAAGCTACTTATTCTGATGACAGAATAAGGCGGTGCCTCGTAACTTCACGTACACTGGTACGTGCAGAGGAAGACGGTGAGGAGAAGCGAGTACTTGGTTAAAATAAAAAGTAGAACTGTATTTAGTATAGTTAATGTCTGCAATAAATCACTATTTATCTTCATCTAACTATGTCTAAATACAAATGTGTAAATCAATTATCTGCTCACCACTCATTGCGTGCGTCTGTCGTGGCGCGTCTTCGTTGGTTGATATAATGGCCTATATCAACCAATTAGGAACTACTCGTAAGTGCTACAGAATATTTGTCCTTATGACAATATTCTGAGAATATAACTCTTATAGTTATATTCTATTAACAATTTCTTATAAATTGTTATGTAACGATTCACCCCGTTACATCACCCCCCTTAACCATCAGTCACTTTAGTGACTGATTGACTAAATGGATACTCGTCCCAAATCATTTGGGACAGGGTTTGCACTTGTTGGTCCGCGTCCACTTTCCAACATCTCATCGCATGGTAAACAAGCCCATGCGATGCGCGAGCAAGGCCGCCGAGAGCGCGTCCGCACGTCTCTGTGCGGACGCCGAAGCAGAAAACAACAGCAACTGATGTCTCATCGGTTGCTGAAGCAACCCAGCCTGTGTCACTTGGTGATGCAGGCGCTGGTCATGAAGACACTCGTGTCTTCACAGAGTACGAGCTCGGTGTCTCGTACTCTCCTGATACGGATGACGGATCCGTATCGACGGCGATTGAATCTAAGCCGCCTGCCAAGCGTGGCATGGACGATGCTTTGCGTCGCAGCATCTTTGGTTCATCTGATGAATCAGATGAACCATCGCCGAAGCGAAGGCGATCGAGGTCGCGAGACTCGGGCGCTAATAGTGGTGTCGGTTCTCCTATGGACACCACTTCACAGCGAGGTGCCAGTACTTCTGTCGGCACGTCGCAGGAAGAGCGGGACCGCAATGTCTTGCGTCTCGCTCCTGAGAAGAAGGCATGGATGCCTCCAAAATCCGTCATGGATCACTTGTCGGCGACGACGAGTGATCGTTATCGAACACGATTGTTCGATTCGTCAAGGATCCATCACCTTGACCCCAGCGCGAAAAACTATCGCGCTGAACATGAATTCTTCATCGATGCTTTCTTTAGACATCGATGGTACAGTGGGAATCACAAACGTGATGGTCCCTCACTACTTCAGGCGTGGAACGCCTACATCCATAACCTTGAGGATGTAGGTCGTGACGTTTGGAACGACAAACTTATCAAAGCTCGTGATAAGTTTGAAAAGCGAACCCCGACAGGTGCACGCTACAAGCTGCATCGTCTGTCAAGGGAGAAAGGATTACCCTGCCTCTCTTGGGGAGACTCGTGCCCGTGTTGTGTAAACAACTCTGCACGAGCACCTAAGGAGGCTTACCTCCTTACCAGCCCGTGGTGGCGCGTACGTATCTCTACTGAGATGTACGAAGGGATTGACAGCTTGAAATCCCTTTACGACCGTGCCGGGAAGACTTTCTCCGGCGGTCCTTCTGCGGCACAGGATGTGCCGCGTCGTACTGCTCAACCAGACCCAGTACGTCGATCATCAGTTGGGAGCGGGGCTCCCAAGAATCCCAGGACGGGGGATAGCCGCGCCACCGGACGAGATAACTCGTCCGACGCCCGTTCACGTCGCGGTGGTTCAACAGCTGCTCAACTAGATAGCGCTGGCCACCGCGAGAGTCCTCTAATGGAGGTGGAGGAGGAGGAAAGACGCTCTCCCACACGATCATGTGGATCGGTGTGTTCCCGAGAGCTTCTTTGATCGCGTAACGCAAGGGTTACGCGACAATCTCGAACATGAGCGGAATAGGCGTCTCCAAATGGCGGAAACTGCCTTGAAGCATCGAGCTGAGTTTGCCTTTGCTCAGCTTGAGAACGAGAGATCTCTGACATCTCTTCGTGACGAGCTAAGGGTAGCTCGTGGGATTGCTGATCGGTCTCGGGATGAGATAGCTGCTCTTCAGACCCTTGTTGATGCCCACCATCGGGAGCACAAGGCTCTCTGCGAGATGCTTGAGCGCAAGGGCGTTCTTCATCGGAAGAAGCAGCGTACTGGTGGTACGGCTTAAGCCGACCAACGTAAAACGTGGGATGCGTTCGCATCTTACGTGGTAACTCGATCGTGTATGCATTGCCTAGGCGGTGCAATACACGAAATGGGCCGATGTACTTGGGTAGTAGTTTACTGCTACCCAAATTAGTCACTACATGCTTTGGTAGATTAACCGTAGACAGTAGGACTAAGTCACCTTTATTAAATAAAAGAGTGTTTGCCCTTCCATTCTTATCAGCGTTTTGCTTTTGCTTATCCACCGCTTCGGCGATGGAGTCTTGCACAAAACGGACTACCGTTTCACGAGCCAGTATGAACTCATCTGATGACTCGTTCGCGTCAGTGCGCTGTGAGCGCACTGCAGCAACATCAACCTTTTCTTCAGTGAGGGCTTCCGCACTCTCACTGGCATCATCTTCTTCGATATCGATGTTATCGATATCGGCATCAAACGCAATGACTTCTTCGTCAGAGCGTGATGAGCGTGAACCAAATCGGTTTTTGCTCGCGCGAGTCCCTCCCCCCCTTAAACCAGAGTTACACTCTAGTAAGGTGGGTACACGCGGATGGCGCAAGCCATTCACGTAAAACGGTGTATGTGTCGTGGACGCATGCACCGAGTTGTTGATGGCAAACTCTACCATTGGCAAAAACTCACTCCAACTCTTAAAGGAGTGTACGTATCCTCGAAGTATCTCTTCAAGGACACGATTGGCACGTTCCGTCTGACCATCTGACTCTGGATGATCAGATGTTGACATCTTCAAGCGCGTTCCGAGTGATTTGAACACGGAACGCCAGAAATCAGCAGTGAATCGTGGATCTCTGTCTGATACGAGTTCACGGGGCAACCCATGAAGTCGGAAGATGGTGTCAATAAAGACACAAGCACAGCCACTTGCCGTGATTGTCTCTGGTACAGCCACAAGGTGTACCAGTTTGCTGAATCTGTCAACAAATACGAGAATACCCGTATTCCCGCGTGCGTCTTTGGGTAACCCGAAGACGAAATCCATTGATATGGATTCCCAGCACTCAGCCGGAACCGGTAGAGGCTGTAAAGGTGCACGCAGTGAAGGACTTGACTTCACTCGTTGGCAGACTTCGCATACGCGAACATACTTTCGCACAAACTGATACTGGCGGGGCCAGTAAAAGTCTCGGCTCACCGTGAGATATGTTTTCTCCTGGCCACGATGTCCTCCTACAGGAGCATCGTGATACTCGAACATGATCCGCAAACGCAGATCAGTATCATCTGGAATGACAACACGTGGTGTGTCACCAGAAACGGCTGTATAATACAGTAAACCGTTACGAGTAGTGTATCGATCTGATGCAGATCGATACGCAGGCGACAATCGTTTCAACGATTCTCGGGATGGTTGGGAAAGATGTGTCAACAACTTCACAATCTCACCATCTTGGGCGTATGCCCGCCTCACATCATCATACAACGTTGTAGATGGGACTGAGGACGTCATAACCGCTACAGTGACTGTCTCACTGTTGGGTTTCGCGACTGTTTCAAAGTCGGGACGACGTGAGAGTGCATCAGCGACGACATTAAGTCGTCCTGGTTTGTACTCGACCGTAAAGTTGTATTCCGCAAAGAATGACAACCACCGCGCCATTCGTTGTGAAAGGTGCGGGCTGTTCACTGCCGTGCGTAATGACGCATGGTAAGTGTAGACAACGAAGGGTCTATCTCCTAATAGATAGACTCTGAACTTCGCGAGTGCATACTTCATGGCAAGGAGTTCCTTGTCATGCGCTGGATAGTTCCGCTCAGCTGGTTGCAGCTGCCGCGACTGATAGCAGACGACGCGTTCAACGCCTTCTAGGTCGTACTGCATTAATGCACAGCCGATTGCGAAATCGCTGGCATCACAGACCACATGAAATGGCCTGTCCTGATCGGCTATTGCTAGGACTGGGGATTGTATCAAGCTCTGCTTGATACCCTCAAAGGAGCGCTGACATTCAGCGTTCCATAACCACCTCTCGTTCTTTTTCAACAAACGAGAGAGGTGTACAGTCATTTCGGCGTAATTGCGTGAATACTTATGCAAATACGCCGCTAGCCCAAGGAATTTTCGAAGACCTTTGACATCAACCGGTACAGGCCAGTCGGTGATCGCCTTGATCTTTTCGGGATCAGGACGTACACCGTTCTTACCAACGATGCACCCAATAAGTGGTATTTCGCTTGCTGCAAATATACACTTCTTGAGGTTTGCATACAATTGATGCTTTCGCATGATTGTAAGAACCTGTCGGACGTGGTACCTGTGAACCTCAACGTCCGACTTTCCATCCATAGCGCGACTATGGATGAATACGTCATCGAAAAAACTCGGCGCGAATTCTCGTACTGGTCTCAACAGATGTGATACACATCTGTTGAACGTGGCAGGGGCATTACTGAGCCCTTGTGGCATTACTAGCCATTCCCAGAGCATGCCGCTAGGCGTGCTAACTGCGGTATAGGGTATATCCCGTTCCCGCATAAGGATTTGATAGAAGCCATCCATCAAATCCATGGACGAAAAGATGGTACTCTTTGACATACCATCAATGATTACGTCCTTCCTCGGTATCGGCGTCTGAGCCGGTACCGTTGCAGCGTTCAATTTGTTGAACGCGTGCACTATCCGCCACCCTCCTGTTGCTTTTCGCACACAGAAGGTCGGAGAGCTATGTGGGGAAGTTGATTCCCTCACATGGCCCGCAGCTAAACGATCGGCAAAGAACTTGTCGATCGCAAGTACTTGTTCACGGGGCAGTGGCCACTGCTTCATGACACAGTACTTCGAGCCTGGTTTAAGCTCGACCTCGTGTCGAATACCTTTATCCTTCGGTAATTCGCACGGAACAGTTTCAAGGAATACATCCTTGAATTCAACCAAATCTTCATAGAGAGGATTTTTCTTGAGCGATTCCCACGATTGGGAGTCATATCGCTCAATTCGTGTCTTTTCATCTAGGACACTTTCGTCCATAGATGAACTACTGAGAACTCTCTCGTTCTCAGTGAACACTGTTGCTGACCTTATGTCGGTTACACACTCTTCGTCAGCGACGAGTACGCAGATCTGCTTGACTTTGCCACTACGCAGATCACGCAAGAACCTTTTATGTTCGAGCGTTGGCAACTGAGTGATCTCCGAAGTTAACTTCGGAGGCGCAATCAGATCAAGTGTATAAGCGCCTACACTTGATCCGTTATTGACTATGACATTCAATGTCTCTGTCATTTCCTGGGGACTTATTCCCTCAGGCTTCGAAGGACTTATTCCTTCGGCTTCCCGGGGACTTATTCCCGCGGGTTTCGGGGAACTTATTTCCGCCGTATTTGTAATCTTGGGACTTATTCCCTTTACTTCCTCTAGCTGGGGTTGCGCAACCACAGCGAGATCATCTACGAAAGACTCTCCAGTCGATCTAGGATTATCGTTTCGCTTAACCTGAGCGATCGATTGTTTCTCTTCTAGATGTTCCCCGCTAGGGATGCATCTTTGTCCCAGTCCACCCGACTTATTCGAGTGGTGGACCTTCGGCGCAGCCTGTGTTTCCCTCACAGCCGCCGGAACTTTGCTCCGAAGTGTAACCGTTTGTTACACTAAGGTTTTGTGCAGTCGTACTAACGACCGTACCACAAGTGAGGCCATCGCACTCACTCGTAGTACATCCACACGCTTGTGGACGCTCCAAAACGTTCATCAGATGGCCATCTGATGAACAAGCGGCAGGCATCGTTACTGTCCGATGTTGCCAGTTTACCCGTGGTTCGTACCTTCTGAGCCACGGTATTCCAAGGATGACATCAAATTTGTCATCCAATTCCAATACGATAAAGTCATCGTCATATTGGGTATCTTCTAGCGTATAGTGGATCTTCACTATACGCTTCATGACGGTTACGGATGCGCCTGTCGCAAGACGTACCGTCATCCTCGTAGGAGGTGTGTCACATTCACTGAATTTAAAGTGACCATCTTCTAGCGATTGGCGTCGCACAAAATTGTTGGACGCCCCACAATCGACTAGAGCTCGAAGGGACAACTTATTCGTCACTTCGAGTTTCAAGGTAATGAGTGAGACCTCATTACCTAGAGCAGCAACGCACAACGTTTGTGTGTTGGGAGCAACCTTCATCAAGAGGCCTACAAATTCTCTTGACGTTGCTGGATCAGTAGGGTGCTCCGCACCTACTGATCCTGTCCGTTTTTTGACGGTCCATCTCGTTGTTGCGTCTTTGCACCATCAGCGGACCCGCGTCCCTTCCCCTTTCTCATGGGTGGACGGTCACTACGCCCAGTGTCGCGAGACATTGGACGAGGGGCACTACACTCGTAAGCGTAGTGTCCTGTCTTTTGACATCTGTTGCATCTCTGCAACCTCTTGTAGCCTGTAGAGCGAGCCTTCTCGCTCTTACATAGCAGAGTTCCATCGGCTCTGGACCTCCGTTGTCATATCGTCTCGGTTGACGATATGATGTCGAGCTGGCGCGAGCCTGTCTCAGACTGAAGTCTTCCTGCTCCGCAATGGAAATGGCTTGTTCTAGTGAATCTAGTTCAAGCCGGAACAGGTGAGTCTTGACGGGACCATCCGCAAGACCCTGCATGAACACCGAAACCAACGTGTGTTCATCCACCGGATTGGAACTTATACAACTCGTGAGATGTCGTATATGCTGAGCGTAAGCGTGTACATCACGCTTACCCTGCTTGAGCTTCAAGAGTTCGGTTCGAGCTCTGAACTCAGCTCTAGGCGGTTCAAACGTTTGTCTGAGCCGCGACTTGAAGACTTCCAACGACCCAAACGCATATGGGTCGTGCAACTTGAGCCCCAGTGCCCAAGTCTTGGCACGTCCTTCCAGATTTGACTGGGCAAATGCAACTTGCATATCCCCGTCGTCGATGCGACGCGCCCTTATGGCGTCATCCAATTCGACGAACCATCTCAAGAGGGAGTCTTCTTCGACCCCCCTATACTTGGAGATGTCAATCTTCA